ATGAGACGTCCTTCAAAATGGCGCGCTGAAATTCATTTCCGTGTCACTACCGGAGGACCGAGGAGTCGAGCAGTCGAGGAGGGGAAATTTGAGTATTGAGAAGCCTCTTATGTCACATACACACGCACTTGTTGGCCCCCCCACTTCTGAAATGAATCCGGCGCCGCTGATAGCATCACTTTGCTATCAAGTAACAGCAAACATCTGAATGTCCAAATTGAGCAATTAGAATCAAGTTTTTAAGCCTACCATTTAATACGATATAACAACATAACATAATCAAATGCATTATGTTTTTGTATGACGTATAAAGAAACAGCGATTTATATTAGAACAGCGTGTTTTGCAGCCCGCTTCTCAGCGGTTTTTGACTGGATTTTTAAACATGTAACTGATGTTACCATGTCAGTTTTCTTTTAAATAAACTTAAGTTATGCTTATGTTCAGTGTTATCCTGAATGTACACATGTTGAATGCATTTATGTTATCATAAAACATTTGCAAAGGGGATTTACCATTGAAACATATTACAATCTAATATTGTTTAAATCCATGTTTAGAGAGTAGTCTTCTTGCCTCTGTAATATCTAAAAAATATGTTCTTCTCAAAATGCTTACAGACACATAGCCAAACAAGGTAAGACTGCAATTATATGAAACATTTTCACCAGTATTTGTGGTTTTCAGGGATCAGTTGTAGGCGTGTCCTTACAATATCTTACAAGTTGCTTCTGCCAGCTCTCAAACAGGAAACCACCTGAGGGCAATTTCTGCGATGGGAAATGTAACTGTTGTGAAAAGACGCTGACTCATTACATTTCCTGTTATTAATTTTGAATGCATCAGAGCACAGACAGTTAATATAACATCTTCTTTTTACATAACATCTGTATTGATTTAAAACATAGGAAGAAATGTTGTTATTTTGACTTGAATAATGAATTTAAAATGTTTTAAGAAAAGATAAGATAATATGGCCCTTTATTGATCCCATGGGGAAATTCAGCAGTTAAAGCAGCAAGAGAGTGAGAGTGAAAAACAGGACATTACAGATTAAAACAAGGTAAAACAAATAATACAAAAATACAATTATTACTTAACTGTTAGGATTTACGCATATTTTGAGTTCTGGTTGTTGGATATATTTACTTGTAAGTGTGCAGACGCGAGTGCAGGTCAAAGTCATTGTACAAACAGTGCAGTTATGCACAGTGTGATGTTGATGTTGGCACATCACTGGATGGGAGCTGTGCACATAGCTGTGACCATGTTCAGGCACAGATTTTGATTCATTTACTTTTCATCAGAAATTAGACAAAATTAGCTATCATCAGTTGGTGCTGTTAGGAGACAACTTTGAAGCTTCAGTTAGAGCATGAAGCAAATCTAATTCAGCCAGCACAAACCCCATCACTGGAGCAACAACATGATCTGTTGGAGTCAGTGCTAGCTAACTAATTATTGTCTTATTGGTCTTATCTTTATATTTTATGACATATCTAAATATTTCTTTGAACCTCTCTCACGGGTATGTGTACTCCATTGTTTGAGTTGTTTCCATGGTTCTATGCAGACCCAGAATTAAACTGACCTTTAAGCTTTTCAAGCTTTTTTTTACCTAAATGTCCCTTTCAGGGCTCAAAATAACAAGATGTTTTTATGAGGAACATTTCAATATTCATAAAGCAAAAGCATGCATCTAAGTTAACACTGACTCAATGTGTGAGTACGCTGAATATTTGTGAGCAGGGCTTGTAATGTTTCAGTGAACGGTGTTATTCTGGAGCAGAGGGATGTGAGCCAGCAGGAGATGGAAGGAGGCCTTTTCCATTTCCCTCCCCTGTTGATACAAAAACCAGACAGAAAGTGAGCAGGGTGTGTAGCTTGGTGAGGATCTGCCAAAAGCTGCTGCTGGCACACTGTGCACCTCGTTTCAAGAAACCTTCACCCAACCAGTTAGAAATTCAAAAAAACCTGAGACAGCTTGACAAGAAATCTTCAACAATGAACAGCAGAACAAGGGGTGGTAACACAATGTATACGATTGAATGTTGAATGGAAAATTATATTATTTATTTTCTCCTAGTTTTGGAGCATGGAAGTGGCATGGCAATGTTGGATTGTCTATCACTCCACCACTATGGTTCAAACTGAAATCCACAAAAATAACCTGGTATTGTACAATACACAAGTATAAAAAGACGCTGACACAAAATATCATTTTGAGGGACATGAACTACAAGTGCCTACTTTACACGACAGATTCACACCACTCACCGCCAGTACTCAAGTTGTAAAAAAAAATCAGGGTGGATTTGATCATATGGGGACATCATTTGTGCTGATAACCCGCCGAGGGTGGGAGACCAACCAGCATAAAGATAATTATTATACTCCTAAAACAACATGCATGTTATGGATGTTCAGATACTCCTTTCATTGCTCTTGACCAGACCAAGGCACCTCAGAATTAGAGTCGGTCCCCGGGCTGCCATGGCACCACTAACATTTAGGGTCAAATGCAGAGGACAATTAGTGCAAAATATTTTTTTCACTTTAATTTAAAGGGGGGGAGGGGATCCAAAAATGTGGTTATAATGGAAGTCTATGGTACAAATCTTGTAGGTTAACAGTCCCTAATTTATTATTCAGATGGATCAACTGATGATACTAATAATAAAGTCAAAATAGTTTTTAGAATATTGAATTATAGTGTATTTTTTCAAAAAAGCAGTTACTGGTATACGATCAAAACTGGTATCTAAAGGGTTACATTTGTATCGTAATTAATTCAATCATTATGTAAATTAAACACTTCATAAAAAATTAGAGGAAACAAATTAGAAAAATATTGATCCGTCATCATTTTATTGCAGTTCAATTACAAATATGTTATGTTAACATTCCCAATGTTACTTTTTTTAACAAATTGAAATTGTTTACAAAATATGAAAATATATTAAAAGATTATACAGATAATACAAAATAGGACCAATGTTGTCAATGGCTGCCTACTCCACTCTCCCCCATCTCATAGAAGTTTCCAAAGATTTTTATAATCATGCTTTTTGGTCTCAATTTTTCTGGCTGTTGCTTTCGGATTGTTAGCTAAGCAATGGCTTTGAAGCCAAGTCTTGACATGTACCTCTGGTCTGAACTTGTTCAGTGGATGGCCAACACTTGATGAAAAGCAAGGCTGACATGCTTTTTACCTCTAGGGAGCTTCTAGTTGTGGTTAAAATGTTCATCTGACTAAACCCACGTTCACACTCAGCTGTGGAGATGGCCAGAGTGTTCACTGCTTGAAGGAGGGGTTTCAGCTCTTCTGGTGCTGGTGGTATCATTTCATCAACAGTTTTGAGTCTTACCAGCTAGCTAACACGAGAGAAAAACGTAGCTAAACTCCAAACTAAGTTATTATTGCTGCTTATGTCCATAGATTCCACCTTTGGTGACTAAAGTAATGAGTAATGACTAAGATTACTGACTCTTGACTTACCTGAAATGTTATTTTTAGTATTTTTAAATATGAAGTCCCTCAGATCGCGTTGTCCACCTGGTTGCTTGGCCATTGTGATGACCGTTACCTGCGCTTCTGGCATCGCTCAAACAGGCGCATCACGGCGCTCTGGCGCCCTCTAGGGCACTCGCATAGTATAGCGTCAGTGACTTGGTAAAAATGTCATTGCGTGTGTGCGTGCTCCCTCGCCCACAGTATTTTACTCAAAATGCGCAAAATTAATGTTGAAATAGCAGTAATACCAGTGCCACGTTCATTGATAAAATGACATAAGGGATGGAAAGGGGGAATGGCAGTTTTAGAAGGGGGATGATTTTGACCATTTTTATTTCACCGCCATCCCCCCTCATCCCCCCTCAACTAGAGTACTGCTCACCGCTCTGCAAATCTTCATGTCGTTCACACATAAATGCACCCAGCAGTAACGATAATATTAATCAATGCTGCAAAATGTAAACAAGTTTGAGGATAATAATAAACCTAAGTCTAAAATTACATCTGAATAGAAAGCTCAAAGCACCGCTTTAACCAAACACACACACATATTTATCTTGATGGCCAACACATTCATAACGTTTATACCACATGGCACGAACTGAGAGGGTGGAAGCTGCATTTACAGTCACAAATGTGCTATGTTCACTGTTTATGGTTAAAAGAAAATGCTCCATAACCTCTTTTTTACCCCCCAAGAAACAGGCATCATTATACGTGTCATAAATGAAGCTCCATTGTGGGTGTCGTTCCCTGTGTTCTTCCCGGAGGGCGCCCTTTCCATGCTCCAATGCAGACATATCCACCGTTCTTCTTTTCTCACAGTGCTCCCTTCGTATTTTGGGGGAAGGAATCTGGAATCGTTTTCCTCTCCTCTGATGCTTGGAAGGAGTTTCTTCTTCCTCACACACACACACACACAAATACAAAGATACACACAAAATGGTCTCCTTGGCTCCCCAGGTACTTTGAGGTTTGAATTCCTCCAAGCAGAACACATACTAGACCCAATCTCACACACACACACACACACACACACACACACACACACACACACACACACACACACACACACACACACACACACACACACACACACACACACACACACACACACACACACACACACACACACACACACTTAGGGAGATATACTTGAATGCTGATCAAAATGTTCTCATATCTACCATCAGAATACAATCCCACTTCAGGTCATATTTTTTCTTCTTTTCCTTCTTCTTTGTATGTAATTTATTTTCAGGGTACAAGCAAACACATTGCCACCAAATGTTGCAGGTTTAGCTATTACAAAGGGCTGGTAGAAGGCAGGGGGATATCATGGAGGAGGGTTAGGGTTATGGGCAGCGTTTGAAGAAGAGGAATGTATCAGACAGTGGGTAAACACTGCCAGTAACTTCACACACATACACATGCCGACCTATGATGCCGACGCATTAACACACACACATATTTTCCTGCAGCTCCTGTGGGCTTCATTGGGAATTCAAGACAACTTGTCTCCGTTCAGTAGCTCCTGGTCAAACAGGTACGTGTCTGTTATTGGTTTCTCATGTCACTCCATTTCCTCTCTGGCAGGCAGAACTGTAAATTATCTAATCCACATTGTGTGTCTGTTTACTTAACGCTGGCTTGATGAGGCATGATTGCATAACCGTGTTTATCTCTGGGAAACCGTTTTAGCATGTACTGTAAAGACTGCTGAGGGTAAGAAAGGTAAAGTGGAACATTGCAAACATGCTGATAAAGTCAAACGTTTTGATGATGCAAACAGGTTTCACTAGCTGCTATGTCATACAGTAACTGAGAGTCTGTGTGTGTGAGTGTGTGCTTCTGTGGCTGTCAACTTTGTGGCTATTACCGTAATCATCTACAGCTGTGCATGCAGTGGAAAAATTGTATTCTTCTTCCCTCTCATATGCAGCAGTTTGAATTATGTGTGCAAAAGCAGTCATCTCCATTTGTGCTTCACATCGAACAGTACAATGCAATTCTTTTTCATTTCATTCTAAGTCTATAAAACATCGTGAAGAGGGGCTTCTGTGAAAATATGTTTTATGGGCTCACACTGAAATATTTGTTCATCTTAACTACAAAAGCTTACAGTTTGCATAATTTCTTAAAGGCACAACTAACCAATGTAGTACTTCAACCCAAGTTGGGGCACTTGCAAAAGACAGATTAAAGGACATTAAAACAAACATTTGGTTATTTGGATTTATCCTCTGTGATATCTCTGTTCCAATTTAGATGTAAAATGAAATGGGGTGTAAATGAAAATTCATAAGAATGGTATTGACAGTCCAATTGTAGGACAGTATGTTCTCCTATTTTAGCAAAGGGTCCTGCATATTAAAGGAGATTAAAGGGGAGCATTCAACAGCTCTTATCATGGCTGGCACTTAAATACTTCCGGGTCATTTCACTCAGCAAGCAACCGGCAAAAACAAAAAAAGCGACTCGACCACCATGTGTAAAAATGAAAGGTCAAAACTGATGCTGCAGAGGAAGTATGGGTCAAGCTCCAAAACCCCAGGGTTAATAGACTTTCCTTGACTTGGAGCCCACCCCAAACTCAATGACCAGCAGGCTTTCTGTTTAAAATGTTCCCGTGCAAATGCCAAAACCCGATATCATTTTGGTACGTTTTTAAGACTTGACCAAGCTCTTACAGAGGCACAACAAATAAATTATACAACTTTAAACAACATTATACTTTGCTCATTGTTGTCTTTTGTAAAATGTGTTTATGTTTTAAAGAAACTTTATTTGTATGTTTATTTGCAGGTTTTAATATCTGACGTTTCCATGGCTCTCCTGTGCTGTGCCATGTTGGTGCTACTGTGTGTTTTTAACATTGCCTCAGCCACTATTGAAGTTCACATGGACTACGGAGGTGTTCCTCTCTGGATTAATCGCCTGCTAGGAGAGCCAAGTGTGATAAGCCTGCAGGGACGGCTGGACTCAGCCTGGCTGAGAGCCAACAACCCCCAGTCCTGCCCTCAGCAGTGTGACTGCCCCCTCCAGTGGCCCACTGCGCTCTACTGCGACCACAGAGGCCTGGCAGACACCCCTGACCACCTGCCGGAGAGGACTCAATACTTGTTTCTACAGGTAAAACAAACACTGGGCTTGTGTTGTCCCTACTACCACTAACCCTCCGGGGTTTTTAATTTCCTGTTCACATTGTACACTTCCCACAGCGGCTGACCAACACTGCACTTTACTGTAAACATTTGATTTTAACTGCGTTACATCAAAGTATTTTTTGTTCTTTTCAGGGTAACAACATCTCGTCCCTGTCCTCCTCTTTTCTGGCCAACGTTACTGATCTACGCTGGCTCATCCTGGATCACAACCAGCTGCAGAGCGACACACTGGGCCAGATCGGGCTGCAGAACCAGACCGAGCTGTGTTACCTTTTTGCCAATCACAACCACCTGAGATCAGTGCCCAGCGCTCTACCAGCTGGACTCAAGCAGCTGCGACTGGCCCACAACCAAATCAGCAGCATCAGTCCTGGAGCTTTAAAGAACCTGCACAACCTGACACTGCTTCTGCTGCAGGGAAACAAACTACAAACCATCACAGAGGGAGACTTTAAAGGTAAGGTATAGCTTCCTTCCTTTATGCATGCAGAAAAGAAGAGAGGTTTTGCAAGGAACACAGTAGACAATCATTAAATGGAATCAAACCATGAAATGTAACACTTAATAATATTGGCAATTATAATTTGCTTACATTTCTTCTCTCTTTCATTCAAATGAGTCATTAGTAATCTTTGTGTGCTTATGTGTTTTTACCCTCTTCATACAGGTCTGGTCAGTCTGAACCTGCTGGACCTCAGTAGTAATTTATTCTCCGCTGTCCCCAGACATCTATCTCCTTCTGTCGAGCAGCTCTATCTATCCAATAACACGCTCTCTGCGCTGAATGAAGACAGTTTTGTGGGATTTTTCAACCTTAAGTACCTTCGTCTGAGTAACTGTAGTCTGCGTAGCGGCGTCATCCACCAGAAGGTCTTCAATTTCTCCAGCTTGGTGGAACTGGACCTCTCTTACAACAAACTAAAAACAGTTCCCACAGTCCCCACCACCCTGAGGTACCTCTACCTGGAGGCCAATGAAATACAAGGTGAGGTGCACACATACAAATGCAATCACCTTTCAAACTGTTATTGTAACAGAGTCACTGACTTCACGTCTGTGAAACTCTAATTTCCCACAGGTGTAAACACATTCCTACCTTTTACAATTCCAAAAAGCACTCACATCTTGGGACAGTGAAGTAAAGTATAACTGAGTTATGTGGCTGACCACCTGTTGAGGTGAAACACCCAAACCATGCTGTGAGGGAGAAGCAAAAATGTGGAAAACGTGACGTGAAGTCGCAGCACCTCAACACAGCTGGGCGGGCCTCATCACAGCATTCGAACAAGAGGGGCTGGTGTTTGGCTGAGGAGAGTCGGAGATGGAAGAAGGGAGAGAATAAAAACAAGGGAGGGAACTATGAGACATTGTAAGAGAAAAAGCAAGAAGAGGGTGGAGGGAATATTGGGTGGTGATATGGGGGGAAAGTAGGTTAGCGAAGAAGAGAGCAGAGTGGTATGAAAACATCTGTGATGGATTCAGAGGGAAGAGTGCCAGACGAGCCAGAAGCACATGCTGTTCCCCTCTTGATCGTCCCCTCTTTCCTCCCCCATCTCTCTCTCTCTCTATCTCTCTCTACTCTCTCTCTCTCTCTCTCTATCTCTCTCTCTCTCTATCTCTCTCTCTCTCTACTCTCCTCTCTCTCTCTCTCTCTCTCTCTCTCTCTCTCTCTCTCTCTCTCTCTCTCTCTCTCTCTCTCTCTCTCTCTCTCCTCTCTCTCTCTCTCTCTCTCTCTCTCTCTCTCTCTCTCTAATCAATTCAATTCAATTCAATGGGGCTTTATTGGCATGAAAGTTAAATTAAACAATGTTGCCAAAGCATCACAATACAAAATAATTAACACCATTAACATACATTTCAAATGTTTACATATTAGTGATGATATACATATACAGTGATACAATTACATTTCAACGTGTGTGTGTGTGTGTGTGTGTGTGTGTGTGTGTGTGTGTGTGTGTGTGTGTGTGTGTGTGTGTGTGTGTGTCTCATTCACTGTCCCTCTGGTTGTGGCATGTGTATACATATTAGGCAGCAAGATGTGCCTTGTCTCCTTCTCCTAGGAGTACTCTCAGTCTTGAGAGGTCATCAACCTCCTTGAAACCTGGGATTACAGAGTTCAACTTGTTTCAATAAACGCTCCTTACTTCGTTGAATGTTTGGCACTTCAGGAGGAAGTGCATCTCTGTCTCAGTCTCACTTGTCTCTCTCTCTCTCTCTCTCTCTCTCTCTCTCTGCTCCCCATCAATGGCTTTTTTTGGCCATAGGAGGACTCTAATAACATTGCGGCAGTCTTTTAGCCACATTGGCCTACAAGACTATCCTGAAGCAATGACCTGGCGTGCGTGAAGTGAAAGTGTTCTGGACCTGTCAAGCTTCAGACAGCTAGGGCCGTGTAATAATGGGACATTCAGACGGCAAAACACTTTCACAAAAACTCACCTCACCGTCTAGCTAGCAGCGAGACAGCTACCAAGCTCCTTGTCTGCCAAAGCTTACAGCCTCAGCCCCGAGGGAGGCCCTACAACTGAAATTAAGCGAGAAAGCAGAAGAAGGCATTGTGGTTTCCTCATCCTCCGTTTTCACTGTGGCACCTGCTAGACTCTCAGGAAATGAAGACTACGAAAAGCAGACTGATAAACCTTATATGATAAGGCAATCTTCACAGGAAGTGCTTTATCTGTATAATTCACGATGAACACATGTATATGATGTCAAATCATAGCTTGCTTGACTGATTTACTATGTGCAGAGCTTTGACAAGCATTTAGCTGTCACTTTGGTGATTAATGAGTCTCTAATAATACCATATGTTCTGTATATGTTGGAAAATGTCTGTCTTTTTTTCTGTTCACAACAGAGTTCAACGTGACCAGTTTCTGCAGAGAGGTGGGACCTCTTTCCTACTCCAGGATAAAGGTCCTACGATTGGATGGAAACAAAATGTCCCACCATCAGCTGCCATCCGACTGGGTTTTCTGCCTGCGAGTGCTTGAAAGTATTTACATTTGATCCACCTTCTCAACATGCAACCGAATGAGTTACTGTATGAAATTGGCCGAATTCATCTATAAAGAAATGTGACTCGTCTTTTTGATCAACTAAGGCAGTGGTTCTCAAACTCTTTTCAATAATGTACCCCCTTTGAAAAAAAAATGCAGCCAAGTACCCCCTGATCAGCGCAAAAACTATTTGTTAAGGAAAAAATGCCTATATAAAGAGGCACAGTACAGCGCTGCACCATCAGTGTCTGATTTATTAAAACAACAACCTTGTAACTGAGAAACACTTAAATGCTACATTTCAAATGTTTACAATCCATCACTAAATTCATGGCAAACCAATTTTAACATCATGCAATAACACTAAGACGACATTAGTTGCATTGAACTGATCTTTTTAATAAGTTGTACTTACAATGTAGTGAGAAACATGGGCTTGTGCTTCACTGAGGATCTTTGTCATTCTCGATGACAGGAAGGCAACCTATAGGTTACTTACGTAACCCCAGTTCTCAGAGTAACATGAAGTGAGATGTCTCACTATGGGATGCGCCTCAACGCGTATGCAAACAGAAGCATCAATCTCATTACGCCAATCCTGATTGGCTGGTGATCTTGACGTCTACGTCAGGGAATCCACCCACCCTTTAAGTAGCTTGCGCTACGTCGCAGCGTCATTCAAAAATAAGCACCTCTTCTCTCTTCGCCTAGGCAAGAAGGGCCGTCTGGTGAGACATCTCACTTCATGTTACTCTGAGAACTGGGGTTACGTAAGTAACCTATAGTTCTCATTCATAACACTCCGTTCAATGTCTCACTATGGGATATTGAAACTCCTGTATTGCTAGACATGCTTATCTAGAAAATCACCAAAAACAACCAGAACTTAACAGGTAGAACCCTGTCTCAACACGGGGCCCAGCACTGCGCGGGCCACACTTGGAGCAGAGACATCTAGCCTGTAAAAGCGGACAAAAGTGAGCGGTGAGGACCAGCTCGCTGCTGCACAAATGTCTTGGATGGAAACACTCTTGAACAAAGCCCAGGATGTAGCCAGTCCACGAATGAGCACGCAGGCCCGTTGGTGCCTGCAAACCCTGACTCGTATAAGCCAGAGCAATCGCTTCCACAATCCAGTAGGAGAGCCGTTGCCTGGTAACGGGCTTGCCCTTATGAGGGTTAGCCCAGGATACAAAGAGTTGGTAATTGCATCGAAACTCTTTTGACCTGTCCATATAGGTGCGTAAAGCACGGACTGGGCACAGCAAATTCGGCCGCTGTTCCTCAGAGGAACACAGTGGCGGAGGAAATGCCTCAATGTCAATGGGGGTACATGAGCCAACCACCTTAGGTACAAAGGCAGGGTTGCCTTCAGCAACACTCTTGTTTGCCCCGGGGCAAACTGAGTGCATGAAGGATGTACAGAGAGCGCTTGAATGTCACTGACTCGCTTGGCAGATGCCAGAGCCAGTAACAACACTGTCTTCAGTGACAGGTGTTTCATGTCAGCTTCTTCCAGGGTTCAAATGGAGGTAGAGTGAGCCCATCTAAAACCACTGCCAAGTCCCATAAGGGCACCAGTGACCTGGAAACAGGGAGGAGCCTGCGAGCCCCTTTCATAAAACGGCAGACCAAGGGATGTTGGCTAGCCGTCTTTCCCTCAAAGCCCACATGGCATGCAGCAATAGCAGCCAGGTATACTTTGATCGTAGAGAAAGCTCTGTGTTTATCAATCAGGTCCTGTAGTAATGATAGAATCACCCCGACAGGACATTGAAAAGAGATGTGTCCTTTTTGAAGGCACCACTCCTCAAACACCCTCCACTTACAGTCATAGAGGGACCTGGTGGAGGAAGCTCTTGCACTCTGAATAGTGTTTATCACCTTCTGAGGGAGTCCCACTGTATTCAGGTTACACCACTCACGGGCCAGGCCCATAGTGCCAAGCGCTCTGGGTGTGGGTGAAAGATCGCCCCCCCCCGCCTGAGACAGTATGTCCCTGCGTAGCGGGAGCTGCCACGGCTGCCCGCACAGCAGCTGATATATCTCCGCCAGCCAGTACATTGCAGGCCAGTGTGGAGCTATTAGGATCAGTGTGTGGCGTTGTTCTCTCACTCTGGCCAGAGTTGGGGGTATCAGAGCCAGGGGTGGGAACGCGTACAGAAGGACCGGAGGCCAAGCGTGCGCGTCCACGCCTAACGGTGCGTTTAAATCGCGCATTGAAAAGAACAGCTGACATTGAGCGTTTTCTTTTGATGCGAACAGATCCACCGCGGCCCGGCCGTAACGCACCCACAGCTGACTCACAATTATTGGATGTAGAGTCCAGTCTGCATATAGTGGTGCACCTCTGGACAGCAGATCTGCCCCGAGGTTCATCACTCCTGGTACGCTCTCAGAGAGAGGAGAAGTCCGCAGCTCCATAAGATCAGTTTGCGTGCCAGCATGTGTAACTGGAGAGAACGCAAACCCCCTTGGCGGTTTATATACGATATTGTGGTCGTGTTGTCTGTCCTCACGAGGACATGATGTCCTCTGAGAAAAGGCAGAAAGCGCTTCAGGGTGAGGAACACCGCTAAAAGCTCCAGATAATTTATGTGTGACCATTGGAGGTCTCTGCTCCAGAGACCCCTCACAGGTCGACCTTCGTATATACCCCCCCGTCAGACATGCGTCTGTGGTGACCACCTTCCGCGATAGGACAGCACCCATAGGCACGCGCCGTACTAGAAAAGTCGGGTGCAGCCAGTGGCGCAGTGCCATTACGCATTTCATAGTGACCATCACTCTCCGCGCGCCATGACGCACGGGGTCCAGTCTGAGGGCAGCTACCCAGCGCTGAAACTCCCTCATGTGTAAGCGTCCCAGTCGTACCACCAGGATAGCTGACGCCATGAGCCCCAGTAACCGCAGACATGATCTGAAGAGAACATATTTGCGTGGCTGGAAATGAGCGAGGCAAGCCCTGAAGGCTTTCACTCTCTCTGCTGACAGGCGGGCTGTAAAGGGCACCGAATTCAGGCGTAGGCCCAGGAAGAGTACAGTCTGGGCTGGGGACAACATGCTCTTTTCTGTGTTTATTACAAAACCCAGGTCGAGCAGGTGTTTTACGAGGACATTCGTCTGCGTAATAGCCTCTTGCTCCGAATGTGCGAGAAGGAGCCAATCGTCCAGATAAGTTGCCAGGCGAATACCCTGTTGTCTTAACGGGGCTATCGCGGCTTCCGTACACCGTACAAACACTCGTGGGCTGAGAGACAGACCAAAGGGAAGTACTCTGTACTCGTAACAGACACCCTGAAAGGCGAACCTCAGATATTCCCTGTGTGGATAATATACTGGGATGTGGAAATACGCGTCTTTCAGGTCGACTGATGTGAACCAATTGTTTTGGCGCACGAGACGCAACAGAGATGTGTGAGTGAGCATTCTGAATTTGTATCTTTTGAGATATTTGTTCAGAGCCCTCAAATCTAGTATAGGCCGAATCCCGTTCCCTCCCCGTTTGGGAACGAGGAAATACTTGGAATAAAAGCCGCTCTGACTCTGTTCGGAGGGTATTATAGATATAGCCTTCTTGTCTAGTAGCGAGAGGATCTCTTGCTCTAGAATATGGGCCGACTCTCCCAGGGCTTGCGAATGCAGAATGCCCGAAAAGTGAGGGGGGGTGACAGCGAATTGGAGTACCGTGTTATTGTCTTGAAAACCCAAGCAGAATCTGTGAGCATCCTCCACTTTTCACTTCTCAAAGCGAGTGGAGATGTCACATCTCTGTCGTCTGCCCTCTGTGTCTTTATTTGTTGTGTTATGGGGCCCTCTAGTGCCTGAACACGATGGTATCCCAGGTTGACAACCCCGGTCGACAACGCGCATGCGCGTGGCGGTGATGCCTTCACAGCCCCGTCCATCGTCCGCCTACTGAGAGAGGTAGCAGCCACTCTTAAGGGGGGTAGACGTCAGACTGTTTATTGTTTTTATTGTCTTTCTTTTCATTTGTATTGACTGCGCCCTTGGCTTTAAGCCTGGAAACGACAGTGGAAAATGATTTATTAAAAGACAATATTGATGACATGTGTTTGTGTGACTTAAATGAGCAGCGGAGCTTGCTGTCGTTGATGTTAAGTCCATTTCCCTCATGGCGCGAACTTGAGGATGACGTTCTGACATCACTCGAGGCGGCGGGAAGATGGGGGCATGGTTGCACCCCGGAAACACATGAGCATCTAACACTGGAACGTGTTCTGGAGCTGGAGAACAGGGAACTTCCAGCTCTTTTATCGAGGAGAGGAGAGGAGGCTGTCAGGCCGCCCTCTTCTTCTTCTTCGTCTGGTGGCTGAAAGTCTGGGCCGGCTGTGCCTGAGCGGCTGCTGCCGGAACCGGAGACTTTCTTGGCCAGCCCGTCCTCGCCTCGTGTCTGGGCTGGAGACCCGGGGCAGGCTGTGGCCTCTGCTGTTTCGGGATCTTGAAACGGGCAGGACGTGAGGCAGCCTGAGCGAAGGACTGCCGAGGGGCCGTTGAAGGCTGCGGCTGGACCCTTTGGGGAAGACAAAGCTGGAGAGCCTCATCCTCCTTCTTTTTGGACTCACACCGCTGCTGCATCAAAGCTAGAGCGGAGCCAAATATGCCCTCGGGAACAATAGGCATGTCCAAGACGTCCTCTTTTTCCCGGTCTGGAAGGTTCGTCAGGGTAAGCCACCTGGCTCTCTCCTGTACCACCATTATCCCTAGTGCTTTACCCGTGGCTTGGACTGCACAGCGCTGCACACGGAGACAAATGTCCGTGATCGCTGCGATTTCGTCCCACACGGCAGGCTCAGGTTTGACCGTCATGTCCTCGCAGAGCTCCGCCTGGTAGGCGGTCAGCAGCGAGGAGACGTTGAGCGCCCTGGCGGACAAAGCTGCGGCTTTATAGGCTCGTTCGGTCATTGCTGACTGGAAGCGGTTAATCCTCAATCACAATAATAATATTCAAAGTAATACTGGGCAAGTAATGGGCAAAATGTACCGTTGATTGATGCGCCATGTCAGCGGACTGGTAGCGACACGAACCGTTAGCCCCGCAGTCTCCAGTCACCCGAGCCTCGTCGTTCTGATAGCTC